TATCGTAGGGTCGTTACACAGGCAGTAGGGTGCTAGCCACGCAGCAGTAGGGTGCAAGCTGACCAATGGAGGAGGGAGGAGGAGGCAAACAGAAGACAGGGCCACGAGGGCCCCCGAGGCGGTACGGCTGAGAAGCTGCGAGCCCGGGATCACAAAGGCCGATATGGCAATCGATAACCCAGACGACCACGACCAGGCTGACCGAGGCGAGGGACCTCCCTAGCAGTCGACGCCAGCGACCGTGGAAAACCTAAGCGAGGTGCAAAGGTAGACCAAAGGGAGGAGAGGTAAAGACTGTGTGGGCCCAAGAGGTAAAGGGGGCGGCCCCGTACCCCAGAGGAGAGGTGAGGGAGGGTGGGTGCCCCCTGAGGGGGGCAGAGCGGGGGGGTGGAGTCACGATGATTTCTCGTGGTGTTGAGATTTCAATCGCGAGGAAAATAGCGGAGAGGGTCGATGATCAGCCTCTAGCATAAGACCACTGTACTTATACCCATGAAAGGGATCTATATACAGAAACAGAAGTCACATAAAGCATATGGATAGAATTATCGCTTACTCCCGGTAGTAAGCGATATATTTGTTCTTCACCCCCCTCCCAAAAATCAACTGTAACAACGCGGTTGACAGATGGAACTATTGCTTACTCCCGAAGAAGCGATATGAGACTTCTTTGACTCCGTCCATTGAGCTGGACAGCCGCCTAACAACGCAACAGATCAATGCAATAATGAGTTGTAAAGAATTTATGCCCGGTTCTCAGACCTCGCATTACCGGCGCACGGCGTGCTCGTATTAGCTCCGGAGATTCACTTTTTCCTGAAGTCAACAGGGACTTGTTTTCCCTTTGGGTTTCCATCCTGCTTTTTGGTAATTGGGCGTTCGGTCTAGAGAAAGCACATCCGCAAACATCAAACAAGCAGGGGCCGGGCAACCGCATGCTATAACAGGCTCTGGATTCGGGAATTCCGCCTAGGGTGTCAGGAAGATTGGGAAGTGCCTATTAATTTGAATTATCTCGGTCTTGAAGTGAATCATGAGCCCAAACATTATTTTTCGCCACTTATGATGCAGAGTTATCACAGGAGAAACATGAGGTTGAAACGAACAATAACTGCTTGAAGGAAATACTTGTCTAGATAACCAACACGGTGAAGCCTGTAAATGAAAATTCCGATAGAAACAAGGATAAACCCAACTTCTCTCCTCCCCACTTGCACATATGAAAATGCTACCCGAGCAAGACTGTTTCGACGATAATTGATAACAAAACCGGGGGGGGGGCGCATGTGGTGGGCGGTTGAGATGGGAGGGAACTAGGGAAATAGATAGGTCGACTTTGAAACGCAGAATTGAGCGCAGCCGCAGGTACGGTAGAGGAACAACCAATTATATATAAGGCGAAGGTGGGGAAATGGGCTCTTTTTTGCAAAGCTAGAGATATGAAACGCGGGGGAATGGGGGAGTTCGGGGGCGCGTTACTAACCTGATATATTAGGCACCAGTATGTATGAAGGGGGCCCATAGGAGAGGGTTGCCTGGCTTAGCATCCCGAACTTTCTTCACAGCTTTGTAAAATGCGGTTGAGATGCGCTGGTGGTCGTCTTTGCCGCTTCCTCCATCTTGTAAAAGCAGGTTGTAGAAGTCTCTCGCAACTTCACTTGAGGCTTGGTCGTCTGTTTCCCACATGTTTGCAAATGTGTGACTGAACCCCGCGAGCTGAAATGCGCTGGCTAGGTGTATGACTTCGTCAGCTAAGTCGGTGGAGGGGTTCCGGGCTGAGGAGCAGGCGGAAAGGTATGCGATCTGTGCGTTTTGTGTAACCAATTTGGATATATCGCGAGCCATGAGCTTATCAGAACTGATCCCATCTTGGTTGAAGAGAAGTAGGTGGCTATCCGAAGGGTTGAGAAGAGACACTCCATGGCAGGCGAAGTGGACAATTTCATGGCGCTTGATTCTCTTGAGGACCTCTGCCGGGGTTGGACTGCTCAACAAGGTGGTTTCAATGAAACTTTTGGATGTGGAATCCAGTATATATAGAACTTCTTTGTTGACTCCCGGTAGCTTCGTTGCACCTGGTGTTTCCGGCATCGGAACGAGAAGTAAGCGGGGATTGCGTTTTTTGAGAATTTTAGCTTTCTTAGATCGCGCGGCTGAAAACGAAGAATCACATTCCTCGAAAAGCTGAAGTTGTTTTTGGCGTGCATAGGAGAGGGCTTTGATTGTTGGGATATATGTTGAGATGGCTCGACTTATTGTGTTACGGGTCGATCCTGGTGAATGGTCCCCGGCCGCATGGAAAGGTGCCATACTTAATTGACCAACCCCAATCCACCAAATCATGTTCGAATTGTTTTCATGAACACTATCGCTGATGATGACCCCGCTGGCTTCGAGGTGGTCAAAAACAGGCCCAACTGCTGCATCCCATAACCAACGGATGAGGTCTATCATCCCTTTGGTATCCTGACGCCGCTTAAGAAAGGATCCACCTCCAAAGCTTGCCAATTGGTTCATGCGGCTTACTGTGTCGTCATAGCTCAGTTTCGGAAGTTCTAATGAAGTTATAGCGGAGGTGGTGACAATTATGGCATCGCTCCGATAAAATGTGCTATTGAAGACAACAATGGGACCATTTGTTGCCATTCTCATTAGCGCGTCTGGAGGAGGGGGGAGCAGGAATCCGTCATAGCCCGGTAAACTGCGGATGTGTTTTAGAATTTCCTCCATCTCATTGACAGCCTCATAGCGCCGGGATATCGCATGCGGTTGGCGTTGTTCGGGTGTTTCACCACTTGCACAATTGATATCTATTTCAGAGTCAATCTCAACCCGAAGACTGTTAAATTGTTCGAACACCAGCGGGTGGTCGGTTTTAAGATCGGAAGCTTCTGATCTTGCGTCGATTGAAAAGCCCATTATAATTCCGCGCCCAAGCTCTAGCAACTTAAGCCCATGGTAGGCTTCTCTCCCAGCCTGAAGAGCAACAGAAGCAGCAACGGACGCAAGCCCGGAGATTTGAGAGAGCATGTGTTGTTGGTCATCACGCGTTAGGAATCGGAGATCAACATGTGGCATCAAGTTAACTGCATCCTCGAGTATGGAACTTGATTCGGGAAACTTTGAGGCTGAATAGAGTAAATTAGCTGCGCGGTGAGCCGCCTGAATGCGGCTCGTGGGTGGCGAAGTGCGGCAATGGAATGCCTCATGGTATAGGCTAAGGGATTTGTTGAAGTCCTCGGGGGAATTTAGCTGCGAGAGTCTTGATTCTAAAGATGTAGCCAGGCTAGTGCACATGATCACACGGTGGGGGTGATCTGGAGGAGTACCAGCTAGTGCCTCTTCGCCGTGACTGATGGCTTTTTGAAGGTCTCCAAGGTCCCCTATCCGCTCAAATCTTGTAGAGAACCTGGATCCTAGGCTGTTGTGCACGACCGCTCGGAGGGGGTGATCTGGAGGGATGGCAGATAGTGCGTCTTCGATATGCTTTATGGCTTTTTGAAGGTCTGCATGGTCTCCTGTCCAGTCAAATCTCGTAGACAGCATATTTCCCAGGTTATGAAGTCTACCTGCTCGACCTGGGTGATCTAGAGGGGTGGCAGCCAGTGCGTCTTCGGCGTGCTTGATGGCTTTTTGAAGGTCTCCAAGGTCTCCTATCCGTTCAAATCTTATGGACAGCATATTTCCCAGGTTATTATGTCTACCTGTTCGACCTGGGTGA